ATTTATTAAAACAAAAATGAGAGACATGTGATAAAAAAATGCTCTTGGAATAAAAAAAAAATTCTGCTTATTTTTTTATTTTTATTTTTTCATGTTGGTTTGCATGAGATTCAAAATAAAATATTTTGATTTGAAATTTTATAGCATAATGGAGGAATGACAAATATAATGTATCAAAAAAGCCGTGAGAATGAAGCTAGACTTCAACTGTGTCTTTAAAAAAAAGGATAATCTACAGAGATTCACTAAATATATTCGGCAGCAAGTAAACGTTCATTTTAAACACAATTAGTACAACAAAAAATTTTAATTTTATTTGTTTACTGGTTGGATTAATCACAATATGTTTACATAATTCTACTGCGACATCATTCTAGTCAATCATATATATAATAGTATTGGTTAGAATTTGAAAAAGTTGTAATCTCTCATGTCAGCATAATAAAAAGATATAATCTCTAATATTCTAATCCATAGGCAGCGGTGCCATGAGACTTGAATAAGCTTCAGCCTATCCTAGATTCAGTTCTTATAGACAAGGGAATTCTTCACACTTTCGACAGCACATAGAAATATTTTCGTACTTCGACAAACTTTGAAAACATTCAATTTTGTATGTGTAAATGTTGAGTAGCCGTATATCGCTGATCACTTGAAGTAGAACAACAGCTGAAACTCAAGTTAGATAAACTACAAGTTGCCGAAAGTTTTCTTTGCTTTCAATGGCAACGCCTAAATTTCTAAGAAATATTTCCAACAAAATGAGCAAATCTTCGAAGTAACTGTTTGTTTTTTGTAAACATCACCGTTTCACGATTCTCCTGTTTCTCAATGAAATAAATCGAAAAGGCTTCTTTCAATAGTCACAATTAGATTAAAACAAATGTTTGATGGTTTTTTTAGTGCATATCTATTGACATTAGTTGCGAGTTTATTCTATGAGTTGTACCCGCTGTATGTAGTCCAAAATGTGATATGGAATTAAGCGCAATAACTGTACTTCATCTGAATGGCATAAAAAAAGATTCGCCTTTCTCTTCCCTATTCTCAACTTCCTGGTCGAGATCTTATAAAGTTTGATAAGTCTACTCTAGGTTCAAAACGTTTTATCATTGATGCATACATATAGTATATTGTGAATAATCTGACGTTTTTTTAAATCTTTGAAAACAATCTGAAGATGTACCAAAAAAAAGTGATTTATAGTAGAACTGGTGACCTATCCTGCTGTCTGACAAGCATGTATCAGTTCAGACTAAAGTTGTTCGCTAGATTCGTACTCATTGAAAATCAAATTTTGGTATGTTTTGTTTTTCTTGAAGAGCTCTTTCACTAATACATTCGATTCTAGGAAAAGATGCTCAAACAGAGCGCTGATTTAGAATTGTAGGATTCACTATGGCTAAGTGAAAAACTTGTTCAGATCCAAAACAATTTCGTAGTAAGTTTTACGATCGTGTTGTTGCAAAAAATTGATTGTCAAATGCAAATATTCATGTCTGCTACTAGAAGACAAGTCAGACTATCAAAAAGCGGCCTGCGCAGATATGCTTCGATTGAAAAAGAGATTAGGGAGGTGACTGTCTCTTAGTCTTAGAAAATTTTTATTGTATTACTTACCAACCCTCATAACAAGAGTCCACCGCCTATGTCGTGAAACTATCTTCTGGATGATCGTCGCCTCTCTTCTAGCAATCATGATAACGTCAGGACACTCCTGGATCTGTTGGAAACTGTAATGCCTATGCGGACATTGTATATATGATTATTAAAATACTTTTGCTAACAAAGTATAATTGTGAGACGAAATCTTTTCATATTTCCTTTTACATTATTGGTATGTATATAAAGAAACTATCATGAATAAAAAAAAATAATTTTAAATACCATCAACAATAAGATAGTTTAACGTCGATATTTCTATTTACTAAAATTGAACCGTAATTGAAAAATATTATTTTGAAATTGACATCGAAATCCATGTTTATATGATTTATCCCATTCTTGATTAACAATTTTCTTACTTCATATGGTGGTCCAGCATGAAATTTAAGAATTAAAAAATCTTTATTATCTTCACATATCATCTACAAATAGAGAAACATGCTAAATATCAAAAATTAAAATAAAATAAATACATACAAGATGATAAGATGGAATCTTTGTTTTATCGATCAAATTCGGATAGAAGATCTAAAATGAATTAATATTATATTGTAAACACTAATAAGTGACTTACATTAAATTTATAACCTTGAACAATTTTCGGTGGAGGATTATTTATATCATAATGTGTCCTATTATATTGATTCCAATGGTATCCCTATTTAAGAAATATTTAGTAATTATATAAGTAATACATAAACATACAATATGAACTTTATTAGAAACACGAGGTTATTGTGGTTGATATTTATCAGACTATAAATATTGCATATCAACAGGTACTGTATCAATAATTGTGTCCGAACCTGCTTCCAAATCATTAGGATTTTGAACAAAACCTTGAGAAATATTTCCAATATTAGTCTAGAAAATAAATTAGAATTAAATATTTATTAATAGTTATCATTTTTAAGTACTTGAATAGATTTAGATTTCATAACTGATTGACGTTGTTGTTTTAATTTTTCTACATCGTCCATGTCATCTATACACATTTTTTGAATTTCAATATCAAATTCATTTATATGCGTTAATATTGGTGAATAATGAGCTTGCTCATAAGCATATAAACATTCATTTTCTGAATCTTCAAATGATTTTATTTCATTTTCCTTGTTTGTTGATTGATGATTCGAAGAAATATTTTGTTCTTGTTTAATTTGTTGTAATTTCTTTTTTAATTGTAACTTATGACGATCATGAAGACGTGATCGTGCTGAATAAATTACTAATTGAGACAATGAGAATTCCCAATAAGATATATTGATAGTTTTTTCATTTTCAATTTTTTTTCTAAATGAAAAATAAACGATATTATTGTCATCTATTTTTTATTTGATGAATTCATTGAAATTTTCTCCTCATGGACCTATTGTTTTTGTAATACTTTCTTAAACACGGAGATAATTTGCGAGTGAATAAGTAGAGTACATCTAGCATAAGTTTATTAAGATAAGTTTTTATATGGATACTTTTTTTTCTGCAAAAATGTAGAACAGAATGTTAGAAAAAGTTGTCTTCCATAGAATTGTGGTGTTATTTTATTATGTTAGTAAAAAAAAATTGGTATCGATCAAATAAATTCTTGGAAAGAAATACTCGGATTGAGAATAAATATTAATTAATTGATTTCAGTTGATAGAATGCAATGATATATCTATAATTATTTTCTTTTAGAACATTCTGATAGATAATGGAAAATATTTTTGCTACGACGAAGAAATCTCTTCAAATGAGAATTCTGTCATTTCATTTTTTTGAAACTACCTAGCGACGAATCGAAAATCCAGTAAACCAATCATAAGTGAGTAACAAAATTTCATAAGAACAAATTGTTTTAGGCTTGTGATAGTCTTACGGAGATCTGCCTGTAAGTTTAATATAAGCTCAAGTGGCGGTTGTTAATTCCCTTGTGAATAGTTTCTGGTTTAGTACAGAGTTTATCATAGAAAATTCAATGTTGTCATTTCGATCTGAAATGTCGTTCGTCAAGAGGTTTTATGAACCTTATCAAAAAAGAAAATAGTCTCAGTTACAACAAAAGATTTAGACTAAATTGATTGTCTTGTAAATCTGTTATCTGACGTGGAGAACATTTGTTCGAGTTGAAATTTTTCATTTATGATCGGATCCATAAATTACTCAGTGAAATAGTAAACCAGAATTTTGCCATCTGAATTTCAGTAATGTCGAAATTTTGGTAGAATTTCGAAAAATTTCGCAATTCTATTGGAAATTCAACAATATTGTGAAATCACTGCAATCATCTGAATTTTGATAGACCAATTGTCGAAACTCGACAGTAATGTCAAAATTCAGGATGAAAAATGCCATAGAACCAATAAGAAGGCAATAACTTAAGCAGAAAGCAACAAAAACATGAACCATTATAGACTTTGCATAATCGTAATAAGACTCTACCAAATGACAGGAATTTCGTCTTAAAAGTCTCTTTTCACCTGGAGAAGTCCCCTAATGAAAATGTATGATAAACATATTCAATATCAAAAATAAATAAAATACCTAATAGATTGTTCAAGTTCTTCCAATTGTTGGGTTGTTTTATGTTTCAATGTTTCTATAACATTAATCATAGTAGCTGAATCGATACCTTCAGATCGATTATTAATTTGATGATCATTATTTGACAAACATTGTTTTAATTTAGTTATTTCATCTTTCGTAATTGTTTGTATATCTCGCCAATATTGTTCATCAAAATAATGTAAATTTTTATGTAATTTTTCTTGTATTTCAAAGGTAGTTCAGCTATTGTTAATCCGTTCAAATAAGTTGATGGTTCATACATTTCAATAAATAGATGATCATTGTCCTCAGTAATATAATGAATAAGAAAATCGATTGGTTTTGCACGATTTTCATTTATTCGAATTTTAGCACGAAGTAGAACTTGATTGTAAATAAACTTAAAGTCGAAAAATCAAAGAAAAAAAATATTAAAACAACATTTCTAATTTAGTTTGTTTTCCTACCAACTCTTCTTGTTTTTTTCATTGATGATATTGTTCAACTTCTTTATGACGTTTTAACATATCTTTCTCATTTTTTATTTGTTCTTGTTGCCGTTCACGTTCTAATTTTTGTCGTTTTAATTTTTCGTATTCGAACTAAAACAAATTATAACAAAAGAAACTCATTAGAAATAATCATTAAAAAAATGGACTTAATATACCTTATTTTGCTCAATTTTTTGCATTGTTATTGCTTTAAGTTGTTCAGAAGATAAATTTTCTAAAACTTTTTTTTTTAATTGTTCTTTCCATATAAATAATTCGCCTAGCTTTTCATCAAGATCTGCATGGTTTCTCTTAGCCATGTCCAATTTGATTTGAAAACTATCGTCAAGTGACATGAAAGAGAATAAATAGTTGACTTATTTGCCTAAACTTACAACATACAAACTTTTGGCAATTTTATTTTGTAAGTCACTATGTAAAATGCGTCATACATACGAGTAGAAAAAACCCTACATGTGACGTCATCTACTATCATACTATCATGAAAACGTCGGTTAAATGACAGTTTTTAGAGAAAAAGACGACATGGATTATTACCGTGCGAAGCACTGTATAGTGATTGTTCGAGTTTTTTTCCTTCTCGACTTACACATCCCAAGTCTATATTTTCTAACGCGATGATCTCAAGAACGACACATCGTCTGATGCTCGTTGAAACGTCACTGGAGATGTTGAGATCTAAATGTATTTTATTTTACTTCCTTTTAAGAATCTATTTAGCAATGTAAAAGGAAATGTTCTATGCTATTTTTTCTTGCTTTCAAGATAGAACTAAGCGAGGTTCAAGAAGCCAACGCGTCCCCTGTAGTTTTTTTTTGTTTGGAAAACGTCTAGGATAGACGAGAAAAGCTTTGATAATAGTTGAATATAAATGCGCAGATTTTTCCAAGTAATTCAAAAGCTTGGCTTTCATTACAATGGATGATAAGATTTGATTAGATGATAGAAGTTCAGTGTCGATCTTTGTTTGTAGACAAAAAACTTATGCAATCTCTTCTATCAATTCATATTTGTTCAAAATTTGGTCCTTATTATTTTGAAGAAACAAATTTTATTGTTTCTATTGTATCTAACACGGACAATGTCTAATAATCAACAATTTAATAAACAATTATTAAAAAACAAATAACTGTAGATACTTAGTACATATTTTTTTATGACTTTGTTTAAAGCTTTGCAATATTTCATATGCCGACAGACATTCTTAAGCGATATGTATAGTAGAAATGGTTCGGACTTTCACGTTGTAAATTCGTCAAGAGAGAATAATCGACAGTAAACCATGTAGAGAAATGAACAAAAGTACAAAAAGAAACTCAATGCAATAAAATTAAAGACGCATCACGAAATTTAATCAATTTGACTATTGCAGTCTACTAACGAATTTGAATGCGCATGTTCTGAACAATATTTTTCATCCTAATTTGGCAGTCAGCCAATAATCGAGATATTTAAAGAAAATGACCCATTGAATTGTTTCAACTCCGCAATGTAAAACAGGCATCAAATTCGTTCAATGAAACGAAATATATAGATATTTGCACGGTTAAGATTAGCTATAGTTATTGATGATTATTAGTTGTCTCCTAAGATTTGCAGCAATAATCATATGACTCGATAGATTAGAATACGAGTCAGTTTGATATCATTTCTTGGACAAAATCTAGAAGAGCAAAATGATATATCGCCGAACGGTAGCTGTTAAAGAGTGACATCTGTAAAAAAGAAAGATCTTGATGAAATGATCGTATTTCATGAATGATTGTGGAGTGTATATTGTGACATTTTACGTCATAAGAGTCACAGATCGACAATCTTCAATTCATAATAACCCTTTTTTTTGCCTATCTTTCTGCTGTCGTATACTGACGTCATGATTTTTCTTTTCTGTTTCGTTTGATATGTCTTATTATTATTGTTCAAATGAAACGAAAATGTAATTTATTTCGACCGATTCTGTATTGCTTCCATAGTCTTACATCACGCAACATGGCTGTCTTTAACAGAAAATCTAAAAAATCTCCGAATAAATAATGAATAACCAACCAAGCGATGAGTCCGAAAAGAATTCATGAAATTATGAAAAATTTTTAATTTGTTAAAAATAGCCTTGCACTCAAATTGTTAATAGTGCTTTACTGTATTCATATTGTTGATAAACAAGCATGAAATTCTCTCATTTACAATTGAATTCTCTTGAACCATCTCAAACTCATTATTTCTTTTTTCATTCTTTTTTCTTTTCTGCATTGTCGAGAATAAATTCTTCTTTCCTTTATCGTTTTTTTTTATTTTAAGTTGCTTTTCTTAGTTCTCTTTTTTCATAACAATCAAAGTAAACAGTATGTGTAAAATGTCGTATTTTATTCTTTTTCATTTATTGTAAAATTGTTTTACATCATAGTCATACTCATGGTTTCAGAAGGCAAAGAGCAAGCTATTGAACATTTATCTAAAGCGGAATTGGCATTTATAGCTGTACTTGTCAATTTAGAAGGTGGTCTAGCCGAAGGTCAAGATAAACCAAGAAATTCATACAGATTGTCATTCGAAAATATTAAAACTGTACGTGGACATGTGCATCGAACAGACGACGGTACTTCCTTCGAATATAGTCAAAGTCCGAAAGGTTTAAAATTCAAAATAGAAAATGAAAGTGATGAACAAATAAAACAAGCTGCTGAAGATGACGAAGTTAAAGAACCAAAAGAAGGCAAAACTTATGTTGCTATTCTTACAAATCAAGATAATATTGAAATTCTTGTTGAAATTGATCCTCATGATATTGCCGAAATTCTTCAAAGTGCTCGAGACAAAGAAATCACTACTTAATAATCATTTAAATACTCGTGTATTTAATCTTCTTTTTTTTTCTCTGAAATAATTGACTATCTTTGATCACTTTTTTTCTATATTGCAGCAATAAACAATTTGAATTTACGGATGTTTGTTACTTTTTTTTCAAATTTTAATCTAGCGTTTGTTTTTTTATGATTGTGTTTATATAAGATTGTCGAATAAATTTTGCTTCAATTTCTTAAGTTATGATGTTGAATTTTTTAAATTTCGATTAAAAACAATACATATTTTCAAAATTAGAATTTGCATTGAAAATATGAAAATATCAATTACTCGATGGTGATGCTTTATGACAGAAATATTTTGCTTCATGTTTATAACGAACTAAAAATAGATAGTTGAGAAGAGTAAAACAATCATTCTTTTGAAATCAAATCATTGTTGTTCTAAGTAAATTCTAGATTCAATTTCTTGATTAAACGTACAAGTTTAAAAAAGTGCATGTGACTCTACGCAAAAAGCTATGCGTATATGCACGTTTTACTTTCACAGGGCATACACGTGCTCGCGTAACAGAGTTTACTATATTTACTGTTATACACATAATAGCTTACACATCGTCGTATGTGAGAACAAGAAAAAAATCCTTCGTAAAAATTTCTCGTGTACGGACAAAAGAAAATGATAAAATGCTCAAGAAAAACAAATGTAGTGCATGTAGCAGTCATTTCTCGATATAAGATTTGAACATACCCAAGTCAACTTACTGACTTCAAATTACCGTACTATCAGTATGTTATAGGAACTTTAGAGTACTTTATGGTTTTTTACCATGTAACTATAGAATACTGCAACATATTGGTAAAACGGTATCTGAAACAGTATCCTAATGATCAATGATTCAGTGCACAGGGTTTCCTGAACTCAGTACATTCACTAGAGTACTTGATTTGTTTATAAGACAAACTTCATCCATTACTTAATTATCTACTTACACTGGTGGTGTAAGCAAAACTAGAGAATATAATTTTCATTCGACGATGTTGAAACATGTATAAATAGTGTCGTTCAAAATTGATGGTACAACCAATAGATGACATTGTTTTCTTGATATCTTAAGAGAGAGATACACGTTATTGTAATGCGTATTTTTGCAAAATGAAGCTCATATGTTATAATTTATTTGTATCACATATCACCTCTTTCCTCTATGAGCTCACTGTGCTTCATAAAAGGTATTAGAAATGATGTTGTTTGATTTGACTCAACACTGAGCGTACGTTTCATACAAAAAGATTTACGCAAATATTCTATGATTTTGAAAAGAAAAAAAAAATTGTACATTGTGTTTGTGATCGTATTTTCCTAGCATTTAAAATATAAACACTATTTTAGTCTGTTTTCTTTTCCATATCGTCAGATGAGTGTATTTTTATTAAGAAGAGTACGATCAATTTTGAAGCAAGTTGAAGGACATCCTTTTTTTATTAGCTTTTATCTCGCATAGAGAATAAAAGTGATACTTGGTTCAAATAAATTGCAAAATATGAATTTACATTTCGTCAAAATCTGCATCTCGACACATTGAACCTCTTCTAAGATATTATTAAAACAAAGTCATCTCTTGATTGTATATGATTCATTGTAAGTTCCAGTGTGCCTACTTACTCAAATAGAATTTATCATTTCAGCACGCATAAATAGAGGGAAAATAATATTTCTGAAGATAAATACCTTCAAGATCAACTTTACAAATATTTGTAGTCAAATCATTATTTTGATAAATGTTTCACATTAAATTTAAAAACAATGATTATTTTAGCGGAAAATAGACATGAAAACATTAGTAATCTTTCTTACATAATCATTTATTAACATTCTTTTGCTATTTTCACATTGACGTCGCCATCTAATCAGATGTCGCTTCATATATTTTCGTTGAGTTTAAGGAACTTGTTATGACAACAAATATACAAAATGTCAGAATGATTTCGTGTGTACTTGAATAATCTTTTTTTATTTCATATATTCACGTAAGAAGAATAAGAAGCAATGGCTGATGGTGGTATGTTACCGTCGTCAACCCGTTCAGCGAATTTTCGTTATGGTAACATCGATCAAAATCGTCTGATGAGTCGACTTATTTCACATCCATTGAAGTCAATTCAAGATGATAAATCAAGTACCCCGCAAGCACCCGGTGGTGATCATTATCGGGCTTATTGCAATAAACAGACACCTGCCGAACATAAATTTGAACCATTACCAGTACTTAAACGATATCAAAAACACAATGATCCAAAAGAAATTCAAGCACGTAACCGACAACAATTAATTCAATCTAATAAACTGCGCGTCTCATCTCCTGAATCACCAGTTGAGAAACGTGCAAAACTCTCCTTACCACCGGTTCGTTTACGAAAATTACAATTTATTTATTAAACTATTTCGATTATTTGAAATAATTTAGATTAATGGTCGAACATCAGAAATGGGTAAA